AGCTCGGCCGACGAGGAGCAGCTGGACACGGCCGAAATCGCCTTCCAGGTGTGAAGGAGCCTGCTGAAGCACAACATCGGGCAACGAGTCTTCGGGCATTACGTGTTGGGGCTGTCGCAGGGCTCCGTCAGCGAGATCCTGGCGCGGCCCAAGCCCTGGCGCAAGCTGACGGTGAAGGGCAAGGAGCCGTTCATCAAGATGAAGCAGTTCCTCTCCGACGAGCAGAACGTGCTGGCCCTGAGGACTATCCAGGTGCGCCAGAGAGGTGAGTGGTTGGGGTGGCCCCGGCCGACGGGTCCTGCCCCGGGGATGCTGCAAGCGGTGCCGTGGGATCCCCTCCCTACGCACCACGGCAGCGCCGCGGGGTGCCGCGGCGGGGATGCTCGCCAGCCCGTGATGTGCCAGCGACACAGGCAGTGATGGCACACAGGGTCAGCGGTGGCGCTCGGGGATTGTCCCTCATGGTCCCCCCCAGCTCACCGCCCCGGCAAATGGTAGCGCTTAACAGCAACCCGTTGTGGAAGCTGCATCCCTGGACGTGCTTTACTCATTTATTCTGACAAGTGCCATTTAATTATTCATTGGGCTGTTTCGTGGCGTATGAATCAATGTGCTGGGGAACGTTGCCTTAAAATAATGAAGTCTTAATGCTGCGGGACCTCGGTGCGGTGTCGGCACTGCCGCGAAATGGTAGTGCCCCGCCGCCTGCACGCACGGCTCTGGGGATGGCGGCTCCTGGGCCGGTCTCAGCGATGGCAGCAGTGGCGGCTGGTCACTTGTGTCCCTGCGGTGACACGGGGATGAGGTGATGCTGGTCCGTGTTTCAGCTCCGATTTATCCCCTGGATCTGATTCACCATTAACCCTTTGCTGGCAGGAGGGGACGGGGACAGGGATGGGGGCCGTGGTCCCCGTGCCCGTGTCTCTGCTCAGCACCCTGTACGGCGGTGGGGAGAAGGTGGCCTTGGATGGGGCGAGCAAGGTGGGCAGGAGACACCGTGCCGGAGGCGAGAGCTGGCAGCGGGGGCTACTGGGGCTCCCCGCACTCTGGCTAGCGACTAATCGGGAGTGACATTTGTCTTAAAAGCAGCATCCCTGAAAATAACTGAACACGAGGAGCGGTAAATACTTCCTGACATACAAGCGGAGCTTGTAAAACCAGCACCGGTGACAAAGCTGTTATCCCGCCTCTTTGATCAGGTAGCATCACGCCGCGGATCAGGACGCCAGAGACCGGCTCTGACGATGCCATCAAAAGCATCCTGGAGCAGGCGAAGAAGGAGATTGAGTCGCAGAAGGGAGGTGGGTGCCGGCGTGTGGGTGGCCGAACCCCCACTCTGCCCCCGTGGGAGCAGCACCCAGAGGGGTGGCAGTGGCAGGGGGCTGTGGGCCCCACGGCATGTCAAAACGCCCCCAAAACCGACAGTCTCCGGCACAGGGGTCTCTGCCTACCATAGGAACCTTTAACCGGCCCCTGCCAAGCCCGGCTCTCGCGGCATGGTCCTGTGCAGGGTGACATCGGGTGCCCAGCCCCGTGGCTGGGCCAAAATGGGCTTTATTTGGCATTTCTCCTGCTGACATCCATAGAGGTTTAGGGCACGATGGGGAGAAATGCTTGTAAATGCTGTTAGGGATGAAAGCTTCCTCATGCGGTGGCATTTGTACCTGGGCTTTCGGAAACTTTGGATTTACTCTTTCCTCCCCCGTGCCCCAAAACAGATGATTAAATGAGGATGCACGATCCATCTGGCACGAGGAATCATTAAAACAGCTGCGCTCGCAGTCAATTACAAGAAATGAAATACATTAGAACAGGTAGTCTGCTGAGAAAGCAGAATCCTGGAGAATTAAATTAGACAGGAATGGTGGAAAAACAGACAGGGAAAACAAACATGTTTGTCTATTGCTGTCATTGGTAATGGGATTTATTTTGCAGTCCTCAAAAAAGCAGCTTGGTTAGAGCTGGGGGTGTCACAGCTTTTGCTTTGTGGGTGCCGCTGGTCCTTCTTCTGATCTGCATTTGTGCGGGGCCATCCGCTTGGTGGAAAGTGCTCTTAACCAGATTGGGCTAAAATCCCTTTTTTCCCTACCATTTTCAATGATGGCCACATGGTAAAATGACGCATGCTGTGCCTCGGGGCTCCCCTCACCCCTTTTCTTTGCAGGGGAACCCAAAACACCATCGACGTCGCAGGCGGTGGCCAACGGGGCGGGCGGCAGCAGCTCGGAGGATGCCATCAAGAGCATCCTGGAGCAGGCGCGGCGGGAGATGCAGGCGCAGCAGCAGGCGCTGCTGGAGATGGAGTCAGGGGGCAGCGGGCGCCCCGGGGACACGCCACCCGCTGAGCGCTCCACGTTGGCCGCCGTCAGCCAGAACATCGTCCCAACCTACGTCAAGCAGGAGGAGGGGAGCAGGGCCAGCCCCGCCCCCCCGCAGACACCCCTGGCCGTCCTCTCGCCCGCCGCCTTCGTCCAGAGCATCATCCGGAAGGTGAAGTCGGAGATCGGTGATGCCGGCTCCTACTTTGACCAGCACTGGGCATCGGAGCGGAGTCTGCTCAGCCGACCCTACACCTCCGTCTCACCTTCGCTCTCCTCCTCCTCCTCGAGTTACTCCAGCATGGCCAACGGCCGGGGCTGGCCGCGGGGAGAGCCCAGTGAGGGCGGCGCCAACGAGGATGAGCTGCCGCTGGCGGATGATGAGCCCCACCGGCTGACGGAGATGAAGGCGGAGGGAGCCGGCACGGAGCCGGCAGCCGGCAGTCGTCTTTCCTACTACCCTGCCTATGTGCCACGGACCCTGAAGCCCACCGTGCCACCGCTGACGCCGGAGCAGTATGAGATGTACATGTACAGGGAGGTGGACACGCTGGAGCTGACCCGGCAGGTCAAGGAGAAGTTGGCCAAGAACGGCATCTGCCAGAGGATCTTCGGAGAGAAGGTACCAGCCTGGAGAAGGAGGGTCTGGTGTCCCCTCTGCTCTGCGACCCAGAGCCCAGGGCTCATTGGTGGCCTCCACCAGCTCCTTCCAGGGTCCACACTCTCCCTGGTGGGTTTCCCTTGGAGGATGCTGAGTCCTCAGGGTCTGACCCAACCCCAAGCAGTCTCCCAGTGGCCACCACCAACTGGTTGGTGGCACATCCCACCAGGAACACCCTGTCACCTGTGCAGAGCCCTGTGGGGAACATCCTCCCAGCCCACCGGGTATCCCATGGGGGGACCCATCATGGTCCCATCACCCCGTGGCTGGGGCCAAGGGGTCCGGACGTGCCATGGGGCCACGAGCGCGGCAGCGGGGACAGCCTGCTTCCCCTCCCTCAACGTGGGGACGGAGGGCAGGCAGTAGCCTGGTGCCAGGGGCAGCTCGCCCTGGCCCTGGTGGGTGACACCTGCGCGGTGCCTAGGTGCTGGGGCTGTCCCAGGGCAGCGTGAGCGACATGCTGTCGCGGCCCAAGCCGTGGAGCAAGCTGAAGC